GTCATATTTAAAACTTTTTAAAGAAAATCTGGTGTACCAATTTTAAACTCAAAAAAATTGATGTGTATGTCTAAGAATAGAAACTCCTTGAAAACAAGGGGCAGTGGTGATTTTTTTTTATCTCCCCACTCCCAAAGCTGATCTTCCTCCTTCATCAGATATCTTAGTAGTTCACTTTTACAACAGATTTTCAGTCCACAAGCCAGAACCATGTAAAGGCTTCTTCTCCCCTCACGTCCAATCGTATTTCTTTATTTGGTCATCTCTTCTCCATTGTCATGTCCTTTGTTCAAGTCACGGTCTCCATTTCTAGCCCTGTGTTTAATCCTTAGCATCTCAATGCCAAAAAAATTGTGGTTAAGTCAATTCATTCTTTTTTGGTATAGTTTTGTGGTTTATATGTTTGTTTTTGGGTATGTCTTAAAGTCAGGGAACAAGCAGCATTTCTGATCAAAGAACTCTCTTGAGTTTTTTCATGAGCTCTGTTCTACCGACCTAACTGGGGTGACTGGAGATGCAGAAAGGTCAAACGATAGAAGACAGACATGCAGAAAGTTGGGGCCAGGTGTGCTGGGTGCTCAGATGGGGACACACAACAGCCTCATTGCTTCTTTTCTCTATTATTCTCTTCTTTTACTTTCCTTCTTTTCTTCTCTATTCTTTAAGACCTTACTTCTAAAGTCTTTCTTCAAAACCTTGCTTCTTTTCTAGTCTTTAAATTCTCTTTCCTTAGACTCGCTCTGTCCCATGTTCCCTTTAATTTCTCTTAAAGCCTTTGCCCTCAGACTTGCACAGTCCTATGTTCTCAAAGTTTTGGTGCTCAGACTTGCAGACAAACAACAGCAGCCACGTTTAAAAAGTACATTAGCATAACTCTTAAAGTCTTGGCTCTCAGACTTGCTCTGTCCCATGTTCTCTTTAGTTTTTCTTTAGCTTAGCTTTCTAAAGCCTATGTATAAAGTTCTCGGTGCAGAAAGCTGCTCTGGTGGAGAAACACAGCAGCCAGTGGCAGCAGCATCATTCTCACAAGCAGCCCGCCGTTAACAATCCCTCAATCAATCCTTCATCAATCCTCAATCAATCCTTCATCAATCCTCAACCAATCAAAAAACCCCCGTCTTTCTTCAGGGAGTCTTTTACATCCAGTGGTAAACAAGGAGGAGGAGCAACAGTTCTTGGGGAGGGGCGTGACATTGTAACAAGAGAAACCTAGCTGCTGTATTTTGCCTTCACCCCCTTCTGCAGCTGGGGCCATACCAAACTCAGCCTGCAGATCACTGAGCACAACTGTGCTTATGTCAAGTTCTCAAAGGCTTCTCATAATCCACTCCCCACAAAGAACAAACGTCACATTGACTAAGAGAAGCTACAAACATCTATGTTTTATATGTTGCTCTTTCTTCACAATAGTTAGGATCAGTGTCTCTAAGTCTGTCAAGAAGATGCAGGAGGGCTGGTGGAGTGGCTCAAGTAGTAGAGCACCTGCCTAGCTAGTGTGAGGCCCTGAGTTCAAAAACCAGTACGGCCAAATTAAAAAAAAAAAAAAGATGCAGGAAAAGAGGACCTAGTTTCTGATCTTTCTAAACTTATGAAAGTGGAGATGAAAAAAACAAAAAAGGTAATCGTTCTACATTGGTTGTAGCAGATGTATGCTGGTTGGCCTCTTTTTTTCTGGCAGCCACACCATGTTTCCTCTGGAAAGCTGTCCCTCTCTCAGCATCACGGGAGCTCTCCCCCATGCCACACTGCCATATTTTGACTCAAGAATTCTAGCAAGATTTGATCAGGTCACCCAATGAGCCTCAATCCCAAACTACTGGAAAAGAGAAGTTCCTTTTCCTAACTGAGCAAGTGTGAATAATTGGTTGAGGGCCTGGGTGACAAACCGGAGACCAACATGGGAAAAGAGTTTGCTGGGGATGGAGCCAACATGGAGGAGAACAGAGAGGGTACAGTTACAAAGTTAGTCTTGACAATGTTGTTTGGACCTTTGAACCCAACTTTGCCTGAAGTGCTATGATGTTTTCTATTTCACAAGCCAATAAGGTCCTTATTTTACCTAAGCCAATTTAAGTTGGGTTTCAGTCACTTGCAACAAAAAAGTCTTGATTTCCACATTCTAAAATTATGAATTTTTTTTTTTTGGCAGTACTGAGGTTTAAACTCAGGGCTTTGCAGTTACTAGACAGGTACTCTACCACTTGAGCCATGCCTTCAGTCCTTTTAGCTCTGGTTATTTTAGAATAACCAGAATGCCCTAGCCATTCTGTACTTTGATCCTTCTATTTTAGGCTTCCCACCCAGCTTTTTTCTGCTGAGTTTGGGGTCTCTCAAACTTTTTACCTAAGCTGACCTGGAACTGCACTCCTCCTTATCTCAGCCTCCCAAGCAGCTGGGGTTATAGAGGTGGGCCACCAGTTCCTGGCTAAGGATTCAAATTTTTAAAGGGAAGAATAAAACTACTTAAAAACAATTTTGCAGGGCTGGCTGAGTGGCTCAAGTGGCAGAACACTTGCCTAGCAAGTGTGAGACTCTGAGTTCAAACCCCAGTACCACCAAAAAAAAACCAAAATGTGCTCCTTTTTTTTTTCGTTTGTTTAAATTCAGGGCCTTGGGCTTCTTATGGAGGGGCTCTGTCACCTAAGCCACACCTCCAGTCCTTTTTTGCTTTAGTTATTTTTCAGGTAGCGTTTCGTTTTTGCCCAGGGCCAGCCTCACACCGTGGTCTTCCTACCTATTTGCCTCTGAGTAACTGGGATGACAGACATGCCACCATTCCTGGCTTCTTGTTTAAGATGAAGTCTTTTTGCCTGGGCGGCCCTTAAACTTTGAACCGCCTGATCTCCAACTCTTAGCTAGCTGGGATTGTAGGTGTGGGTCACTATGTCTGGCTGCAGACCTCTTCTGAAGTTCTCGACCACAACACCCACAGTCATTCCCTGCTTTATCTCTCTTATATTAGGCTGCAGTCTCTCCTGAAGATAAGTTCTTTTTATTTTTCAATGATCCATAATCCTAGGCTCCAAAGTGCTCCCTCTCCCCCCATCTTTTTCTTTCTCTCTTCCTTTTCCCTCCTCTGCCCCAACTATACCTCGTAATTATATGGAAAGATCAAGTGAACAGTAGGTATTCAGTAATTGCTTACTGAATTTATGCAAATATAATACAGTTGCTATTTTTTGCTGTGAATTCGGAAACCTGCTTCAGGGAACACCAGAGGATGGGCGAGGATGGTGGCGGGAGAGCAAGAAAAGGGAATAATGCTTAATCAAGGCACACCAGAACATAAAAAAGGGAATTTTTACTTCACAAGTTTTGATTCTTGGGGAAATGTGTTAAACGCTTTGTTGTTGTTGTTTGTATGTTGCAGTGGAGGGGATTAAACCCATGGTCTCACAAATGCTAGGCAAGTGTTCCACCATCAAGTTACACCCCAGCCCATCTTCATCTGTTACAACTATGTCAACTGCAGGAATTAAATTGCTCTTAGGGTCTTAAAATATCGGAATATTCAGACTATTATATATAGTTGAGACAAGAATAAAGTGCAAAGAATAGGGGGACAGAAAAAAAGGAAGTCACATTTATTTAACACTTACATGATTTATTCATACAAGTGTGTACAAGACATGATGGTAACTAGAGACCAGCAAAATGAAAAGCTCTAATCAGGACAATTTAAGACAGAATATCTTAAATCTGTTACTGACCATGTTTCAGACGCTGTTGTCATGTTTTCCTTCTCTTTGCTATACCATATCCTTATTTTTGCTATAAACAACTTGACAACATAAATTCTTTTAAGCAGAGATATATAGTTTTTTATAATAATAATCTTTCTTTTCTGTTCTGTATTTTTAGTCCTATCTCCTGTCAGTACTCCACATAAACAAGGATACATTGCCAGCTTTTCCACTGCGAAGAAAAGTTCAAGATACCCTATTACATTGATTGAGGTATCTAAGGAATCTGCCCTACCTGAAAAAATGAGTGAAATGTTGATTGATATAAATTGAAGCCAGGTATGGTGGTGCACACTTGTAAGTCAAGGCACTCTGGTGGCTGAGGTAGCAGGATTGTGAGTGTGAGGCCAGTGTGGGCTACATAATGAGATTCTATCTCAAAAACAACAACAACAACAAAAAGAAATAAAATAAGCTGAAACTTTCCTCTGTAAGCTAATTTGATTAAGAATGAATCTACTTAGGCCTATCATGATGGCTCACAACTGTAATCTCAGCTACTCAGGAGACAGATTGACAGAATTAAGGTTTGAGGCCAGTCTAGGCAAAAAGTTACTGACTCTCCCACCCCTAACAAATCTTAACTAATAAGCTAAGCATGGTGGCACTTGGACATCATCCCAGCTACTCAGGAGGTTCTAGGTAGGAGGATCAAGGTCTGAGGCAAACTTGGGCAAAAATTTGAGACCTACTAGAAAAAAAAAA